GCGGCCGGTGCATCCTTGCCTTGTTCGCTTCTCGCTTTCCAATTGTGCATCATTTTAATAATTTACAAAAATAGTTTATTTTCAGCGAGACCGACACTTGAAATTTTTTAAAATGCCTTGCTACAAAAGTGTAATGTCACGTTTCCGACAGCGAAGGAAGTACTGTGTAAACTCTTTAGACCAATTTTTAATATTTATTTAATATTTGTAGAAAATGGTTTACTTCTGTTCACCGACCTTCCTGTTTTGAGCTTATAGACACACTTGATTCAGTGGCGGCGTAAGGGGGGGGGGGGCGCCTAGCACCGACAACGACTACTCATTCGCATAGCCAGAGAATACTTATAAAAGAATCACTTTGCAAAAACATACAAACAAAAATCTGGACGGTAGACAGACGGTCAGACAAACAGACAGACAGGCAGACGCAAACGGGAGACCTATTTCTTCGTACTCTAGGGGTCGCTTACTCTTGGGAAGTAAAAATAATGTCTTGATAGATAATGCGAAGAACTAGACCATCGTTACACAGCAGTATCTTTTAAGATAAGACTGATTTTGGCAAATGACATACCTTCTAAGAAAAGAAAGGGTGGGTGGGTGGGGCTAGTATCTTTTAAGATAAAACTGATTTTGGCAGATGATATACCTTCTAAGAAAAGAGGGGGTGAGTGGGTGGGGCTAGCACCTTCTAAGATAGAACTGATTTTGGCAGATGACATACCTTCTAAGAAAAGAAAGGGTGGGTAGGTGGGGCTAGTATCTTTTAAGATAAAACAGATTTTGGCAGATGATATACCTTCTAAGAAAAGAGAGGGTGGGTGAGTGGGGCTAGCACCTTCTAAGATAGAACTGATTTTGGCAGATGATATACCTTCTAATAAAAGAAAGGGTGCGTGGGTGGGGCTAGTACCTGCTAAGATAAAACTGATTTTGGCAAATGACATACCTTCTAAGAAAAGAGAGGGTGGGTGGGTGGGGCTAGTATCTTTTAAGATAAAACTGATTTTGGCAGATGATATACCTTCTAAGAAAAGAGAGGGTGGGTGGGTGGGGCTAGCACCTTCTAAGATAGAACTGATTTTGGCAGATGATATACCTTCTAAGTAAAAGAAAGGATGGGTGGGTGGAACTAGTACCTTCTAAGATAGAACTGATTTTAACATTTAGTGTTGTTCAACCTAAAGGTCGATTTATAAGTTTGTCGCTGATGTTGCTATTTACCGTTGACGTTGCCGTTGTAAGATAAATACGCAGCGAAGGTATACGTCGTTTATATCATCAGTTGACGTTGCCGTTAAAAGGTGGCACGCCGTTAGAGTGACGTTCGATATGACCAACTTTTAACTTTCGCCGTTACGTTGCCGTTGGGTTTTCAACCAATTAAATTTCGGTAGTGTGCAGTACTGCCAACTTGAAGGAAAAATCCCCTGAAGTAGGGGTACATTTATTTTTCTGGTTGACAACATTAATTCCACGAAAATCAAATTTTGTTCGAGATAATGAGGTCCGCTAATATTAGGCTTAATGGGGCTTAATTTTATTTAATTTTTGACTTGTTTTTTTCTTAATAGACATAGTATTCTTTGAACAACACGATACTCAAAACATGTTTTTTATTTCTTGTAGAGAAATAAGGATTTTGCAATTAAGCTCCGCCTCTCGGTCTAACAACGAATGAAAAATTCATCACGGTTGAGATCGAGAGGGATGGGTGGGGCTTCTCTTTTGGTTTTCTTTTTTAATTAATAGATTTAGTTTTCTTTGTATAAAACAATTACTTAAGAACATATTTCACATGGTAATTTCTCGTAGAAAAATAAGGATTTTATAATTAAGCTCCGCCCCTCGGCTTACGGCGAATAAAAAAATCATCAGAATTGAGATAGGGTACGCGGGCTATATTTTGCCTTTTTTTCCTAATATAAAGTCGCGATCTTTTCTATAGAACCACTCCCTAGTGTAAATTTTCAAAATTTGTTTGGTGTAAGTGACCTTGACGGGTTTCTGGGGGAAACATATGTGTCAAAGATTTGACAGGTTAGATGGCCCCATTGTCAATGTAGATATTTTATTTTAATAAATAGATGAACAGAACATACAGTCTGTACGGGATACAGTGCGGCATAGCTGAGGACAACCGAAACATTCGTGTTGTGCTAATTTCGATTGCCATATCAACTACCGCTACCAACCGCGTTCGGCGTAAACTACTAGATGACAGGGCTACCAACTTGACTTTTTATCGAGTGGTTCCGTAGAAATGACCGCTACTGTACATAGCCATCTTTTCATAACAAGAAACTTAAAACATGGTTGAAATGGTTTTTGCAAGAAGATATGGATTTTGCAATTATGGGGGCGGGGGTCTAATTGCAAAATCATTTCCTTATACAAATTTTCCATTTTAAACATGTTTTAAGTTTCATGTTGTGAAAAGAAGTCTACACATATTAAAACAAAAAGGCAAAATATAAGAACGCCCACCAGCCCTATCTCAATTGTGAAGATTTTTTTATTCGGTGTGAACCAAGGGGACGGAGCTTAACTGCAAAATACTTACTCTTTACAAAGAAATTAAAAACATGTTTTTGAGTAAGTATTGTGTTGTTCAAAGAATACGTTGTAGATTAAGACAAAAGACAAAATATACACCCCGCCCACCCACCCATCTCAATTGTGAAGATTTTTTTATTGTTAGAAGCTTAAAACACATTTAAAATGGTAAATTTTTGTAAGGAAATGTGGATTTTGCAATTAGGCTTCGCCCCTAGGTCTGCCAACGAATGAAAACTTCATTACTATTTAGATCAGGGTCGGTATGGGTGGAGTTTAATCTTTAGCTTTATTTTTTTCTAAATATACTTAGTATTCTTTGAATAACATGATACTCAAAAAAATGTCTTACATGGTAATTTCTTATAGAGAAATAATAAGGATTTTGCAATTCAATTCCGCTCCTTTGGCTTTAGACCATGAAAAAAAAAATCATCACAATTGAGATAGGGCGGGTGGGCGGGGCTTATATTTTGCCTTTTTTCTGAATTCACGTAGTCGTCTTTTCAGAACAAGAAACTTAAAACATGTTTGAAATGGTAAATTCTTGTAGACAAATATTGCAATTAAGCCCCACCCCTCGATTTGACAACGAATGAAAAATTTATCACAATTGAGAATTGAGATCGGGGCGGGTATGGGTGGGGCCTAATCTTTGGCTTTACTTTTTTCTTAATATACATAGTATTCTTTGAAGAACACGATACTCAAAAACATGTTTTTAATTTCTCGTAGGGAAATAAGGATTTTGCACTTAAGTTCCGCCTTCTTGGTTCACGACGAATAAAAAAAATCATCACAATTGAGATAGGGCGGGTGGGCGGGGCTACATTTTGCCTTTTTTTCTTAGTATCTGTAGACTTATTTCGACAACAAGAAACTTAAAACATGTCTAAAATGGTAAATTTTTGTTGTAATTAACTTAAAGCCTCCATTGTTCTTCTACGACTCCTTTAAATACGGCAAAGTTACTATAAACAACAACTTGGCAATGGAGTTTATAAGTAGTGATAATTTTCAGCTCTAAAAGTAACGTCAGCGGAAACTTCAACGTCATCAGTAAATTTGTAAATCCCACTACTAACGTCATCAAAAAAAGATGTTCATGAATAGTTCCAAATCTGACAAAAATCTAAGATAAATTTTCTATAATTTTGGAAATTTTATGGACTATATTGGAGCTTTTCAGAATTAAAATTGATAAAATCATGTTTAAAGTCCACAATGAGGTAAGCGCGACTAAACAATATTTTCATGTTATCAATTGAAAAAGAGAGGAAAGTAAATTTTGATAACCTCATAGAATATTTTCCCAAAATGAAGATCCGTAAGAACGTTTAGTATTTGCTGTTGTATTATATGGGGGCTCCCCGGTGCTTAATAGAAAATCGCCCTGGGTGCCAAACCACGCTACGCCGCCACTGACTTGATATAAATTAACTTCGTCTTTCCACATCATTAATCTGTCAGATATTGTATTACTTATTTGCCATCATAGTTCCTTCTACAAATAGGTTGCATTTCATATAAGTTTCTGCTTGATTTCCAACACTAATGAGACGGAAATATGTTGAAAGTCATAGTTCTAATTTTTTAAATTAATAATTTAAGAATTAAATAAGTGGTTTCTACGAATAAATAAGGACTAGTATAGTGCCACCATATTGTCAATTATTTTTAAATGGGGAAAATACATTTTAATGAACAACATTCATTTCTTTGATTTTATAAAAATCAAATATAATGATACGATGTCAGAGTTTTGTGTTTGAACACACTTAAACCTTGAACATTATTTCCAATTTTTTATCCAATTATTTTAGGATATAGAGTGTGTAGGGGAGGCTGAAGCACAAGGGACATCGGTACACAGTTATATTACGTCTTCTGGAAAATTAGAAAAAAATCTTTTATGATCACTGTTTGAAAACACTCAATAAAAAAGGCACCGAAGTACCTCTTTAATTAATTCAGTAATAACCACTGTCATTGAACAAACAGAAGTACTGAGTTAGCGCTATACCTATTGACATTAAAGACACAGTAAATAAATAAATAAAATTAAGTAAACATTTCACTAAAACACGTCTTGCTTAGAAGATCCTTCAGCAAGTAGCTTTTAATGTGCATTTTGGAATGAGCGTAAACTTACGCAAGTTATTGGTATTACGTTAACTTAGTGTATCACTCGGCACGTGTTGCCATACTACGTGATCAAGCAACAAAGCTGCTTTGTTGAGAAAATTAATTTTGATTGAGCCATCTGATATGGAAATTTCAGTTCAATTAAGTATTTTTTTTATGCAAGGCTGTACAAAATCCACGGCTGAACTCCTGTAAACACGGGGATAATGACCGGTTTGCGTGCAGTCGCTAGGGCTATCTGTAAAAGTTTCCTAAGAACAAAAGTATTTTGTCTTGTGGCAGTAATTTAATTCATGAAATAACCCAGACGATTTTATTTATTTACACGTGAGTTACACTATTTTATATTTTTTGTGTCTCGCCACGAACTTGAATTTCCTATAGTCATCCGAAAGCCACTTTTTGTGAATTTCTCTAGCCACTTCCACGGTGTCTCCTGAAACATTAAAAAACAGCTTCAGAGTGTGAGTAATTTTCATAAATTAACTCCCGCGACACACCCTCGTGGGCCTGGCAGGTAATACGACCGTAATTTGTTGATTAACTTATACTCTGACCCAATTCACTACGTACAAAGATAATTAAACGACTTTTAATACCACACGTTATGCAAAATGAAAATTCTTTTACCGAAAGGTTCAACAGGAAATTCACTTCGGTCAAACGTAAATGGCTCTTCAACTTCTCTAAACATCTTGTCACTGATAAAAGTTTGATTGAAAGCTTCTCCATTAAGCAAAGTTTCATTCATGTAATTTATGAACAGCTGCCATCTGGGAGCGAAAAAGTTTGAAACCACTCCTACGTTGCAAAATTCGTTAATGTTGATTAATAACGGCGGAATGAAATTACCTGCCCATTGTTTGTTGGCGTAATCAAGAATTTCACCTCGAGGTCCCCATAAAGTGATTTGGTTTCTTGCGTTGTACTCAAACTGTTTTGCTTCGGTGCTGTCATTGGCCGCACTTTTGGCGGATTCCAGCCAAGGTCCCAAGAGGAAATCCCGGTTTGTTGATAAAATGGCTTCAAGATCGGGGAAAATCTCCAAAAATGTCTTGGAGTTGTTTCTGGTAGAACAACGTTAGCTTCTAGACAAGACAGTTTTTGTCAAACTTACTCGAAGTTTTCGATATCCTTGTTTTGGAAAGCTTTGATAATTTCTTTGTAGTATAAATCGCCGTTGACTTGAAGAACTTGTCGTGTTATGTCTACCAAATCGTGAAGGTATCCAGAATTGTTACCTATGTTGTCAGCCGCCTCCAACAGACTCGTCCAAGAATTTAACAGATCATTAGTTGAGTACCAAGTCTGAAAGTCATTATTTACTGAAAGTGAGAAATGGTGGAAGATTTGTTACCCAAATAGAGATTTTCAGACTTGGGGATTTCGTAACTGCATATTTTCCTCTCATTTTGGTTAAGCCTTGGTAATCGTAAACACTTCCCTGTTAAAAAATCTTTAGTTCGATTCAACTCGAGTGTTATTTATTACCTGAAGAATTCTCCACGCTTGTTTGGCGTTTTCGTCAGACAAGCCATATCTTCTCATAGAATAATCATCAAACCACGTCGTTAAATTAGCAGGCGTTTCTCTCCAAGCCGATTCAGTCATTAATTCATAAATTACGTAATTCTGGTTGATCCCCTCAGGCGTCAAACCTGTTCCAATCATGGTACTATTTTCCATATTTCTCGCTTTTATTGGCGACTAATTTTAAACAGCTTAGATTATTGTAATAAGCTTGTAAACACTAGTACTTACGTCATTCACAATAGTTGACGATCCAAACATACCCAAAGTACCACCAAAATCATGTAACATACACCAAATAAAAGGCTGCCCGAAATATTCTTTCAGTCGATCGTACTGTGGCCACTGTTCTGATTGTAAATCAAGAACTATCATTTTCCCCTTGAAAAACACAACATACAAGAAAACCCACAAATACAAGAAATGTGAAAAGAGAGAAGAAGAAACAGAGAGCAACCTGAACCCCAAGAAGATTATTTTAAACATACCAACGGTATACTTGTTAAAAGAGATTTTACTCTCTCTGTATCGTTCCAGTAAGTATCAAAATAAAACATCCACCCTTGTAGCAACCTAAAACAAACTTACTTTAGGTACTGACGTTAAAATAGCTTTAGCTCTACTATGTGTCCAAAAAAATGTATCATGGACAAACATCCAGTTCTGCATTAACCTAAAGTTTCAACAGGTGATAAGTCCAAACGACAAGCTAAATTTACCATATTGCGTCAGGGTCTGAATCAGTCATCGCTTTGTAAATTGCCTGGCCAACGTTTGCCAAATACGTGAGATCGCCGGTTGAAGGAGTGTTTTCGTTGAAACTGTCACAATTGTAGACGTGGTCAGTTCCAAACTCTGCAATTAACTAAAATTTTTGCTGTATCAATCAAAGTACAAAGTAGTATTCACTTCTGACAAAAAAGTTGATCCAATTTGGTTGAATAAATCTTCCGTGGGGTCTAAAAAGTAAGGGCAACAATAAGTAGAGTTGAAGTTGTTCCAGGAACCGATTTCCACCATGTTGGCGTCAGGATAGAGTCTAAAAATTGTAAATTTGAATAAAAGCTGTAATAAGTTAAGTTGTACCTTTTGAAAGCTCTGGGGAGGTGTCCTGCAAAAGCTGGCAGCACTGGTATTACCCCAAAATCGCGCAACCTTTGCAAAATTTGCTTCTGTAGAGTTAGAGATCTCTGGTGCCAGGCTGGAGATAAAGGACCTCCCCATCCCCTAATGTTTCCCATTCTCAACCTACAATTCTTTAATTATATAATATAACTTAAGGAAAAATTAATCCTACCATGATAAGAACGCAGGTCCGGTAAAATGTTCATTGATATCATCATCAGTTAAGTCAAATTTTTTGTAAACTCGTTCCCAGATAGCTTCTTGTCCATTGAAAGCCAGAACCAGATTGAATCCATTTAAAACCATCCAGTCTATGTGTTTTTCCCACTGGGTCCAGTCCCACCAAACAAAACTATAGCTCGTGGTACAAACATTTTGGTAATATCGAAATTTGTCGTTCAACGTAACGGTGATGTTAACATCTGGTAACTCTTCAGGTAAATTTAACTGTGAAGCTTCCCAGGATACATGACAGTTGCAAAAATATTTAAGATAGTAGTTGAAACCAGCTGCTGCAGCTACTCCAGTAGTTGCACTTATTTGAACAATATTATCAGATGTTTTCTCTATCTTCAAAAGAACTTAAGTTTTCACTGGTGAAAAATAAGTAGGCATACTTTACATGAAACGTGTCTTTAGCTCCATTCAAATTTGGTTCCACAGTGATAGAGAACAATGTCGCTTGATCAGGAAGCAACCTCTGGATTAACTCTCTAACAGCATCTGCTTGAGTTTCAGAAGACCCTTTTGGTTTAATGTGGCCCAGAGTTGACGAAAAATCTGCACCTGCTAGTGATTTTGATTTAAGTTGTGTCACTATTTTTAGAACTTACCATTAGTAGAACTTATGTTAATGAGATTAATTGCAATTACTAAGTATGCAAGGTGTTTCATTCTAATTTTGTAGTACCTTACGGTGTTAATGTTAGATATGAACTGAAGCCCTGTTTGTAAACTCTGAACTCTGTATCGGCTGCTCTGATAACGAGGTAGTCATTCACTTAAGATGATAATCATTGACTTCACGAGCTTAGTTATGTTTAAAGTGGAGTGTTTGTTGTGTTATCTAGTCAATATTTCGCAAATATTTTCGAAGACACATATTGATATTATCAAAAGTGATAAAGATATAAGCAGGTTTGGTGATCATGTGTCGAATTATAATGTTCTTCTAAGAATACCGGTTGTTCACTAGGGCAATGAATTTTATTTTATAGGTAATGTTTCACTTTTGGTTGACGATATCGAAATATGAAAAGACCTCGGTATAAACGTCAAAAAACAAACATAGAATGCAAAAAAGATTCTAAAATATGTGGAGAAGAGGAGTTTTTTTCAACATTTTTATAGGCAACTGTTAAGTTACCAAACCCATATTGAAAAGAAAAAAATGTAGGTTTAGAACATAATGATTAAGGCCTTCTGATCATTATCATTTATTACTTTATTATTGTTAAATTTCACAAGTTTCAAAAAATAACAGCTAGATACATTCATAAACATTTATAGATACCTATGTTTTAATTTATCCTACCTACGTCACTGAATATTTCAAATAGACGCGCAAGCGCCATCTAGTAGGCAAGGATTTTGTTAAAACCGATTAATACAAACAGCGAATAGAGAACTGAAAGCTTGGAATACGCATTTAATACGCATTCATGCGCACAAGTTCTCTGTTTTGATTTCCGTTAATTTTTCGTAGTTTCGAAGTTTTGTTAGAAACATACATCCAGTGAAAGTTTTTTAAAGATATGTTCTTAGTGTTGTAAGATTATGAACAATATTTAAATGATTTACACACATGTTTATAATTTCTATTGCAGGTGCTGGAGTTTGTGTTTTGAGGTTATGTAGGTCAACTAAAGTTCTTTTTCATAATTAATATATTAAAAAAAAATAAGTGTAGTAAGTTTAAGTCACGCTGATTCCAGTTTTTTAAAACCAAATGGGGCCAATTCATAAAGGTGGGTAATCATGCTATATTTTAATTATGATGAATGTTGGATATTGGGAAAAAATAAGAGTTCATGTGAATGAGCGTCAACTTCAAGTAGGCAGTGAATTATGTTGTCAAGTTAAAGCAGAAATTTGTAATATTATTATATTGTTATTTTTGGTTTGTATAACAAACGTTTTCTACGAAAATCGTTTAATTAAATAACAGTATTACAAATATCTACATTACAGATAGAACACCTGAACCACTAAAAAGTACACATCAAATTTTCCAAATTTCTTTTTTCTTTTACTGCAGAGAACTGATGACGTAATATTAAACTATTGTTAAATAAAAGTTTCATTTAATTGTACAGGATTCTAGAATCAGAAAATGCCAAGTTAAATTTTTGTATTTACACTCCCATACGCACACTACAGTTTGTTTAATATATATTTTTGTGCAATGATGTCATCAGTTTTTTTTAACGGTGACAACTATACTAATTTCGTCACGAACAACGTAAACTGTGTTCCCAATTTTGGAAATAAGTTGTAAAATGTGACAATTAAAAATTGTTATTGATAATAAATGAATGCGTGCAGTTAAAATAGAAGTGGATTACAAAATTGTATGCAGATATTGAAGATGACGCAGTCACTTTTTTGGAGGGGATGAATATTCAGCATTTATATAGCGTTCCAAACTTTCGCAATAGGGTTAAAGCAGATCTAAAATTTGTATTGAATAGATTCTTGTTGTTTAGTATAGCAATGTTACAAGTATTAGCGCCCTAATGAAACTTCATAATTTATTTTTAGGCGCATTTATTAAGCATGTCCAGGCCTTGTGTTCCTCACGACGCAAGCGTTGGGACGCTATGTTCATCAAGTACGAAAAAGAAGGAAAACTGGACCAGTCAACATATTCTTTAGACGAGATGATGACTATAAAAGATGAGCCAGACCAGGAGCTTTTGTATTCAAATAATATTAAGCAAGACAAACTATCAGAAGACGACAAACGGCTCGTCCACAGCATCGAACAGGTTTTAAAGAGCAATTTAAAGCAGCTAATTTTGCAGAGGGAAAAAACAAAATTGCTGCTCAATCGAAAGGATTACAGAAAAATACACCCACAAGTAATACATGAAATTAAAAGACTTAGACAGACCGTGTCTGAAGAAGATCTAGTGAAATATATTGGTTGGTGCGTAACTCCTAATGAAGATGTAAAAGAATTCATTGAAGAAGAATTACAAAGCAGCTTTAAGAAATTGTTACTAAATATGTTCCAATGTAAATTGGATAACATTGATCACAAACTGTGGAATTTAGGTCTTCTGGAGGAGTGGCATTCTTTATCCAGATACTTGACAGAAGAAGACATCGTCGTATATGGTGTTAAAGCGGTGTCAGAACACTTCTGAGGTTTTACCATTCTTATAATTTGATATTTTGTGTTTCTTATTGTTTTAATATTTTTACATGTAATGTATTACGTTTTTGATAGCATTTATTCTGTATTAAAAAGCATTAAATTATTTTTTATTTTTATCGATTATGCATACTATGTTGAAATATTAACGTACTTCGTGATCCGCCAGAGGGTCGAGTGACACAATCGTTGCGATATATTTTTTGTTTTTGTTTGTTTCCGTGCAGAATTTTTAGAACGGTTACTAGGATCTTCTAATTATCAATATATAAGCACAAAAACTTTACTAAAACTTATAAAATAGTTACATACTTATTAGTTACATTTTGAAAACAATATATAAATTATTGGGGATTTCGTTAAACCATCCTTCTAGCTTTCTCCACCACGTGAATGTAGAAAGCAGGGTTTTCTATTTCTTCCAAGTCTTTAAAGTCGCCATATAAGTCAAACTTTGATCTTTCTCCAAAAGCTTCTACCAGCATGTTTTTAAAAACTTCAAGTCGGTGTGGGTAATACGAAAGTCGAAATTCGCTAAAAGTGCATCTATGTATTTTTGTTGGACGATTGTAAAATCAGACATACGTGACCTGATCGTAATTAATTTCTTCGTTTTTGCCGTAAATGGACGAAGCGTCGATTAAGTAATCCAAAGTAACCAGAGCTGGTTTACCGGACACGTATAATACTGAAGTTTTAATATCAGTCATGTGTTTGCTCTAAAATTTTTGTAAAAATAAATTATTTCTAAAAGAAAATATTCTCACATTGTAGTAAATGCATTTCGATGGTGTGCTTCCTTCGTTAATAATGTGGTCATAATTTCTGTGATCGATTAACAAAAGGCCTCCAGGTTTAACACATTTTTCGAAATTTTTGATAGCTTGTCTACGGCGCACATAATTAATGACAATAATTACTAGGAATTGATAAACCTACTTTTGCTCTCTTTGATCACCAAATGAGTCAAGTAAGTGGGCAAAGGAATTCCCCAAGCAAATTACTGCGTCGAAGCCATTACCCACAAGTTGTTCAATATCGCTGTCGAGGGTTAACCAGTTTGCTTCTTCGATTACTAAGAAAATAAAATTACCCACAATTCGGAAATTTAGTTAATTCTTACCCCAGTTATAGAATGCGGGCTCGTCTCTTCTGTTCCATCTTGCTTTCAAAGCGTATTTTAACATTTTGTCGGAAGCATCCACAGAGACAACTTCGAAACCCTCTTCTAATAACATGACGGAGTCGATACTGTAAGTTCAAAAATTGAAACACTTGTTTTCAATGAAAATTTTTTTGACTTACCCGGTTCCACAAGCCACATCTAGAATTCTTCTGCATCCTTTTTGTTTCAGAAGACCAACTAAGAAATTTTTGTAATTTTGGGTTCTGGAATTTTTGTCCCCTACAAAAACTTCCCAAATTTTGGCGGCTTTGCCGTCGGCATATTGGTCTTTTATGCCTTCGACGGCTGCCCCCACGGAACGTGTATGGAAAACACTGTCAGCCATAATATCGCTGGAATTAGTGACCTAAAAATTTAAAAAATCAAATTTATTTAGGACTTACGGGTTGTAATTTTCGTAGAATACCTTTACAACTGGTTTGAACTAGATCAGGATGATGAGCCCCATGGTCACAAGTGGAGGGCTTATATACCCAACGAACTAGTGGGGGAAAATATTTTTTATTTTATGTTGCATCATGCGATAACAGTAAAATTCCTCTTATACAATGTTAAACTGTCTTGTGGGACAACAGGATTCTTGTTGCTATTGTTATTATATGTCGTTATCACAAAATGCGTATTTTTCAATAATTTTATTAAAAACAGCGGATTTGCTAATTGTGTTATTTTGAACTCTAGGTATTTTAGTCTCTTTCAACATCTTAATACGCACAGTTTTATCAGGTTCAATGCATTCAAGCGATAATTATGCAATCACTCTGTCATTATCTCAGTGAAACGTCACTTTTCTGAATGGGAGTCAAACTGCATGTATGCTTGAAGGTAAAAAGTTGCATCATCTCTGAACTACTTTATTCGGTTTCTAGGAATCTTTTTTTTGTCGAGTCATCATAGACAAAATACTGAGTGGTTTATATGTATAGTAAATAAGGATAAATTATTATGTGTACCTATTATGTTAACGGAGATATAAACAAAATGAAATTTATGAAGAACTTTATCAGGTCGTCGGAATTGACCTCAGAGTCGTATCGATACTACTTGTTTTACTCATTGTTACGTAGACTGTTAAGAAATTTAATTAGTTAATCTAAGATTATTATTAATTACTTTGTTAATTTAGTTGCCTGGCAAGATTAAAAGTAATATTGTTTCATTTCGTTTCTGATAAATACTTTTGGTTCAACCTGTCTCGAATTACGTTGTAATATTTAATTATCTGCAAAAATTATATTTAAACTAAATTATCAAGATTGGTACTATTTATATTTTTCATTCAAAAAATGTACAAACCGATCATGAAAGTCACGTTCTGTGTATAATACTAACACAGATAATTAATCAAAACATTTTTTTATAGATTTTTAAAACTGTCTTTGTTGTATGTATAGGTTTGATAACATCGGACACTGTGGCTTTTTGTTAAACACATTCAACTGCAAAAATATAAACTTTTGACATTGAATTTAACATTATTTTCAGAAAAGAACATTTAAATAGCTGTTGACTTCGTAGTTATTGTTACATAGCTGTAATAGAATTTTGTGTGCAACTTTTGCATCAGTTGTTTAAAAAATTAAGTGACTGACGTTTCAAGGCTGCTGACAAACAAACAAAAATGTGGATTTAAAAATTAGTTGACGTTTTCAAACAAATTGATGAAATTTTGTATAGTTGTTTCTAGTCGATGTTAGGCAACACGTTATACACAAGGCTGTACGGACTACATATGCTTAAACTCCACCTGGAGTGATGGTTTCTTCGTGGAACTGGCTTCATTTGGAAGCAAACTAGTAAGTGGGAAATATCTTTAGAACTATAAATAGATAAATGGCAAATAAAAAATTACGACTATATATGAATAAATAACATAATGTTTAACAGCGTTTACTTTCCGTCTTTATGTTTAAATAGACTTGACAGGATGTGAATGAATTGTGACCACTAAATATTTCCTGAAATTTTTGCCTAAACAAATTTTAACACTGACATCACTTTTGTTTTTACAGAGAATAACTCCCAATAGTTTTTTTCTCGTCGTCGATACCTATCTTTTAATTACAGAAAACACACTCCATATTCTACACACTCTGATGTGGAAGTTTAAATATGACAGATTTATTCGCCGGCCTTGGAAAGTATATTTTGTTTTTTAAATGGTTTGAATGTGAACATGTGGACGTGGGGGAACCGCATTATTATAGCTATTAATACAAAATTACAAGATGTTGATTTGTAGCTGCACACATTCAAACTACTTTGCAAATATTTATTGGGTCAGAAACTGCTATGCGCTAATCTTGTATGCGCGATTTGAAAATTAAATATGTAGATGTCGAAGTTAAATTTTCAGTAAGACTATTTTGCTCACTGAATAGAGTATAAATAGCAAATAGCAAGGAATTTCAAGTAGATATTTACAAAACTAGTTTGCGAAATGGTATTTTAGCGCACAAGAATGAGTTTTTTACTTCGATTAGGAACTTGTTTGCCTGTATGTTTACCTGTCGTTTGTCGCGTGCTATATATTGTCATTAAATTATGCAAGTTTGTTTATGATTACATTAGATAAAATCTCTGTCTTTATCCCCGTTTGGAAACTGATGACGTCATCTTGAAAATAATTAAAAAGTGTGTTTTTCTAAAATACGTTTATATTTTTTAGACTCACTCAAATTTGTGTATTATATTATATTTAAAAAATTGCATATTCACAAAAAGTTCCTGACAGTTGTATTTTTTTATGGTCACTGTTTCGTGTAACTTTCCGTAAAGAAGAAATTATGGCAATTATGCACATACATTTCAGCGTTTAAAAAGGCCTTAATGGGCCGTTAACCATTTTTGGTATAATGTGTGTAGGTAATATAATAAATTTAAAAACGTAGTGACGTCGTGTATGAACTTTTAGACATTTCTTTGCATTTTATAACATTATAACAGAATTGATGAAACGTCGCAAGTTAATTTAAAATGTTCACGTATTAGGTACGTTATAAATCGGTGATCGAATTAATATATTACAATTATCAGATTTTGTATAAACAAGTTTGATGTCTGACGAAAACACAAGCATGGATTATGAAATTTGAGTTTTTCTGAAAGTCGCGGCTTTTCAAAAAATTACAAAATTTGATTTTGGGATTTTCATTTTGTGATAACCCTATAAAGTAAAAACCAGTTTCCAATGCTATTAAAATATCTGCAAGGTATCACCGAATTGTCAAACAATTTTGATTTTTCCCAAAATTCTGGCTGCCAAGGGTAAAAACTCAACACGGACTCATAGATTACACATACAGGAGCATGCTATTTATAAAATTTAAAGAACATGTAGAAGAAATGATATTTTTCGAAATTTTGTTGTAATTTTTCTTACAAAAATTACAACGTATAAAGAGTTTGTTTTGTATGAAGACAATAAGTACAGTATTTTAATGTGAAATACAAATAGACTTGTAGAGAATTTTATTGTGCTTTGACCTAAATTTTTCATACGCCTTTAAAATTAGAACATTTTGAATTATAGCAAAAAAATGAGAGAAACAAATTGTAAGATTTTATTAGAATCAGAAACAGAAATATAGCAGATTCTAACTGGTACAGCTTCACAACATGTTGCTAAAAGAATTCTACTATAGTTAATAATTATAACTTTTATTTATCAGTAGCGTACAATCCAGGAGTATGGGTCAGTTGCGCGCCGTGATCAAAAAAAAATCTGTATTCAGGTGGCTCTAATCTCTCAGGACAGTTGTATGCGAACAAGCTGAGAGTCAACGGTCAGTTGTTTGCTGGTATCAAAAAGATTTGCATTTTAACCACAAGTACAGGTTCATAATATTTTGCATATTTTAGATAGGATCCAGTTGACAAAATTTTGGGAATACGTCATCAATTTTTTTGGAGGGGATAAATGGGTAAATTTTATTTATCAACCTTAGAACGTTTGCAAGATTTCAGAGCATTCGATTTGCAGTTTCAAAGTGAAATTGCAAAATGTTGGTATGCAATTTTAATTTTTTTTTAAATATCTGGATGTCAAAGTTAAAAACTCAACACGGATTCATCAAACACAAGTGCGGGTGTATGTTATTTTATAAAATTTAAATAACAATTGCTAATGTAAATTTTGTAGATGACGTCATCCCATTGTTGGAGGGCTAATTTTGAGAGAACTTTTGTCGCTTCTAAAGTACAGTCTAACAAATCACGCTTCTGTCAAAAATTATAAAATTTGAGTTTGTAAAATTGTGCGCGAAGATATCGCTTATATGCTGCAAATTTTGCACAAATAGTTTTGTAATGTAATTGTGATTAAAAATCAAGGCGGATTCATAAACTACAAGCGTAGGAGTATATTATTTTATAAAATTTAAAAATATTTAATTTACAAAATTTTGAGGGCACGTAATCAAATTATTGGTTAGACAAATTTTGGATAGCGCTTTACTGTCTACACGATATTCCTAAAACATTCAGAGAGATTAGCTGTCTAATAAAAGTCCGGACAGACGGCAGATATATAGACACGCACACAGAAAAAGACAGACAGATGGACGCAAACGGGAGACCTATTTTTCGTTCTCCAAGGGTCATGAAACGTCGAGAAAACACCGAAGCAGCCAATCGTCTGATGGATTCGGTTACAGTACTTCCTAGCTTACGATCAGGGAATAGAAATACAAGAATTAAAAAAAATCCTGGAAATAGATTCGATTCGGCTGAATGGGATCCCAAAATATAGTTCCAACGATATCTGAAACATGTTCGTTGGAAATAATTCCTAAATGTTTTCTATGGAATCTAAAATATATAACTTTCTTGAAAAGTTGACAGTTTTACACCTAGATGTATTTAAGACAAGACCAGAGAAGACTGAATTCAAGTCAGTGTCATTTATAAGTAATAAAACCAACCGAGGCCTAAGATTTGACCCATATTTGAGAATATTCTGAAACAAAACTGATCAACAATGTTCCTAAATTTCTGTAAGGGAAACCTCCAATAATTCAATTTGTGTATGAAGCAACTTGATTTAATATTAAAGTCGTAGTCTGTGAGGCTTAACCAAATTTTTGTATTTTCATTCTTGTCGTTTTTGAACTTTTCAGTTATTGCAGTCTTTCGTAAAAGGGAGTTTTTAGAACTGTTTTCAGATCCATCATCGCTTTAACATGTTTCTCTTTGGATAAACTTCCTTTGGAAACCAAAGCAATCTGCAAGCAAAGCCCGAAAAGACCATTTCGTGTCCACAAAAGCACAAAAAAGCCATCGCCCAAACTGGTTCCTCGCCAAATAGTCTCCTTTTTTCGCTTTTCGCCGTCCGGCGTCACGCATCGCCCCTCGTGGGCGCTCGCCGAGTCCATCCCTGTGCGGGAGTAGCCCCACCAGCGGGCGCCATAACCTTACCTGCAGCTCGCTGCGACCGCAGTGTCGGCTCCGCGGTCCACCAGCCAGCATCCCGGCGAGAGCTCGCGCTCGCGACTTCGAAGATGCTCGAGTACGACGCCGAACTGTCGGAGCGCCTCGGCCTGCCCCTGGACGCCAACAACAACACCGGCGACTCCGACAAGCCCTCGCGCGGGGACAAGTACTCCCTGCGGCCGCGGTCCGTGCGGCGGCGCGGCGGCGGCGACGACGGCCCCCGCGGCAAAGCCAAGCCCAAGGCGGCACCCCTCAGCAAGTACCGGCGCAAGAACGCCAACGCGCGGGAGCGCTCCAGGATGCGGGAGATCAACCAGGCGTTCGAGGCGCTCCGGCGGGCCGTCCCCCAGATGTCCGTCACGCACCAGACCAACGAGAAGCTGACGAAGATCACCACGCTGCGCCTGGCCATGAAGTACATTTCCGCGTTGAGTGCAGTGTTGAGTAACGAGCCCCAGCAGGACCTGCTGTCGGACTGCAGCGAGTTGGACTGCTTCCTTCTGGAGTCGGACGGTGAATCGCTGCCGTTGCAGAGTGACTTTTCCGATCATTCGTTGACTCCCGCGGACTTTTCCGTGGATTTCCCCGAGGACTCGCTCGCTACGGACGATTTCGTGTCGGACTTCGATGACCATTTGAGCCATTTCGATCCGTTCTTGGCCGGGTTCAGCTAATAGCGCCGATAAACACGTATAAATACACAGCGAAAACTGTAAGGTTGCAGCCCCTGTTATTTACAAACGTGAGTTTTGACGAAAAAGTAAACCCTATTGTGACACGTGAACCAGTTCAGTTCATCGTAAACGAAGTACACTTCCGGTATTTACGACTGTGAGTTTTGCTACAACCTTACAATTTTTGGCTTGCCGGGATCCAAATTTTGTTTAGTTTTTCCAACATGCAGTAATCGTGAATTTTAAAAAAATTTAGCTGCACATCGTAACGAAAACGAATTTGGATGACTATACATTCCGTTAAATATTGTGGTGGCATTTATATAATACAAATCGATGTCCAGAGTAATCTGAAGTTGGCTGTGCGTCGTGAAGGCCTACTCGAAGCGGATCGATTTCTGGGTGTCCTGTGCCTTGAGGACTGTAAATACGTATTTTGTATTGACATGTACGACTGCGGTTGCAATATTGCATGACATTTATTTAAAGCCAGTCATGCTCATATTTATTTATAAGTAGAAGTCGCTTTATGTAATATATCGAAATCTTAGCAGATAAATATATTATTTCTGCATAATTGTCGTTTTATTTATTGGTTTGCGATTTATTGCGACAATTCCAATTTCCACCGACACCGTTCTGGCGGATCGACGGCATAAACAGGTAAGTTACATTTTGTTGTTACCAGATGACACACTTATTCGCTAATGAATTCACGTTGATCACTTCATTAAGTGCAATTGCACCACCAGTTTTGCCTTTTTTTTTTTAGAGATAAACTAATTGAGCGAGAAACAAACAGTTTAATCTATTTTGTGGAACAATCCCATTATTTCTAGCATCCCACCTAACAACCTATCATTATTCACAGTTTTTCTACTAAAACGATCTATCTTCCAACACCAGCTAGGCGTTTCTACTGATACTACTTAGCATTTGTTTCCGTATCATTAAAGCTAAAATACCTACGGTAAAAAGGATAATAAATCAGCAGTACTCCCACAAATAACGGACGAAGACGATTAATCGCCGAACTTTGGCAGCTGAGGATCATTTAAATTTTTAAATTGTTAAGAAATTGTGTTAGCTGTTTTACAAGTAATATATCTACGTTGTTTCTTCGATTGCGTTTGTTTACAGTCTTGTAGGCGACTTCGAGATAACGGACTTTCAATCTGGAAATTTATAAGCACAAAAAATTCAAACTTTTACTTTTAACTCAAAAAAAAACACAAAACTTAATGACACCTGCATTTTGCATAAATTACAACAAAATTTGCATACATCTGCATTGTTTTTGTCACTTCTTGTTGTACATATTTTTAAGTGGATTTTTACAATTTTTTCAGTTAATCAGTTTTATCCGTCACCTAAGAGAATTACTGCAGTTTTCTTATTTTGAACAATGTTTTTTGAAAATTTATTAGATAAATAATATAACACTATTATGGAGACAATAAAACACCAACAAAAATTTTTCTGAGATCATTTCAAAATGCTACTAAATATTAATTAAAAAATTTGTTTAATCCCTCCAGAAAGTTGGTGACGTCAAAGTGAAAAATTATCAAAGAATTTTTTTTGGAAACCAATCCCCGATTTATTTCACCAATTTTCTCAGCAAAAGAGTGAATTTAATACAATTTGTAACTAATCCTGCTTCTTAATAATTAGTGCTTCAAAATGTTAAAATTACTCAAGACATTATTATTATTATTATTAATATTATATTATTATTCAGTGAAAAGTAAAAAAAAATATAACTAAATAAAAAAAAAGACTTTTAATTTTGTTTTTACAGCAAATTATCATATAGCAATATTTGGGGCACTATATTCCAAATATTGTCAACTACATAAACTTATAAAAATGTCCAAGAATCATCACTGTTGACATGTTTTTCAATTTCATTTTTATTTAAAAAAGGAACACCGACTAATTAATCTATTGACGAAATTTTAGCATTATTTGTTGAATTTATAGAAAAATGGAGCTGAGAAATAGAACACGATCAGACATTTACTCAATTAAAACTGACGACCTTTTTTTAATTTACATTTAGCGTAATGCAGCCAGATCTTTCTCCATCGTGACTGCGTTTAAGACGTTAAAAACTGGGTTTCGCTTGTCGGTCAATGCAAAAGCTCTTAATTATTGTCGATAGAAACCAAATCGATTAAAAAAGTTTTTTTGCGCTGGCTAGCGATTCGAAGTCAAGGTGAGCCTACTCGGACTCTTAAAAGGGTTCTAATTACGTTCCATCTCGCTATGGTGTGCGTTAATGACACAAATTTACTTAGTACCTATCTCTGGACCCCGGATTTTTCCGACGGCCATTAAAATCCAATCACGTCGCGAATTCATCAATGAGGACTCTTGATAGAATTCTGGATTGGCAATTTCACAAGAAGTATATTCAAATTACGGCATGAATAGGCAAGAAATTGTGTAATACAATGACAAAAAAAATCAATTATAACGTGCTCATTGTAAACGATGTCAAACGATATCGCCCATAAATATTTAGAGGGGAGATAGGCATACATAAATACATCTGCATAAGTTGGGGCCCGTCCTTGGAAGGACAACGTTACAAGTTAATATCGTAATTTATTATTTATAATATTATAATTATATGGCAGGGATAATGATATTAATGAAGTCGAAACGGAATGGGGGAAAGGCCATTGTCTAGCGAAAATTCGACGTGTTTTCTTATGCTAATGCGCCTCTACAAGACTCCGAAATTTCTTTCCTCTGTATTCTAATGAACCCGCAGCAGGTGTCGCTGGGCTTATTGAATGAATTCAGAAATCCAATATCGTGGAAATCCCTTCTCCATGAAATTTCGGTCTCGCATTCATTGATTTTTCCTTAATATATACTTATTGCGTCTGGAATGAACATTTATCAAACCGTTACCATTGACAGTACCAACACAGCATTCTCCCTCATTAGAACCACAAATTGCATGGCACGAACCTTATGCATATTCTCCGGAGCATATAGCCGCAATTGTTTGACATTTTTCCCTCGAATGTACCTCCTCCGTTGTTTGTTGGCATTCCACTTGAAGAACCTTTTTTCGTATGTTAGCCATATGCATAATAAACGTAGCTATAGTTGCCAACAACAATGGGAACCGAAGGCCGCTTCATTTCTAATGAGCGGGCTCGCATACAAAGAGGACGTCGGATCAAACGTTGTATAAGATATAAATTGTCCAGCAACCTATATTTTGGGCGCCACCGCGATCACCTAGATCGACTTTCACGTGGATTTGTAAGCGACTACAGAAAAATTACGACGAAGTGAGACTACTTTACCTGTAGGCGGTATAATTCAACCAATCAAACGTTAAATCCCGTCAAGTTGGTACCAATCACGAGGTATTCGCCCACTACTCGGACGTCATCGAGTCTACGTTAATTAATATGAGAGGATTATGATTATGTGCATACAAGAGGTTTATCTAATCACTGGCATCGCTATGCGATGCAGGGATTATGCTACAGTGGTCAGATAGCTATCGGCACAAAAGAGGTACACTCACTAAAAAATTTCCGGTTTAATATAATTAATTACTTCATTTTCACTACATTTATCTTATGTTCATCATTTATTTCATTTTTCATTTTTAAAGTAACAAAAATGCATTCGCTGGAGTAGAAGACGTGATTAGAATTAGAATTAGAAATATTGCAATTAAAACAAAAAAACAAAGTCGTAGAAATCTGAAATATTTTCAAAATTTCTTTTTTATTTAATAACAGCAATATTGATTACTATTATTGTTTAATTAATTAATTATTTTCAAAGAACAGAATTTTGAACTAATTATTATTTATGATTATGTAAGTATAAAGATGTGTAAATAAATTAAATGTTGCTACCTCTGTGCGTAAAAACATGGTCTTATGTTATTAGAGAGAACTTTCTTCGCCCCTGAAGTACAATAATCAGATCCAGTTTTTTAGAAAAAATATAGATAATCCAGCCATAGTGTAAGAAAACAAGTGATTCATCGGAGGATCGAATTCGCGAACTCCTTAGTACTATGCTGGGCGTTTTTCTTATATTACTACAAACTGTTGTAATTTTTTTGGGAAAATCCAGATGCCTAGGATAAAAACTCAACTCAAGACGGATTCATAAACATCAAGTACAGGACTTCATTACTTTATAAAATTTAAAGAGCATTCATCATGCAAAATTATGACGTGACGCCATCAAACTATTGATGGAGATGCTTTATTTGACAGGTCATTTGGAAATCATCTGCCTAAAAAAAGTGGAGACAGACGATAGACAGGCGACAGACAGATGGAAACGGAAACCTATATTTTTTATACTCTAGGGGCCATGAAACGTCCAGAAAACATAAAAGTAGTCATTCACCTATTACAATACTTTGTTAGTTTACAATCGAGAAGTAAAAAAAAGCTCTGATGAAAGCTCAGTTTAATGGTAAGCTCCGTCGTATTACAATTATCTTTGCTACATTCAAAAAGATTTTCCAAAAATTTTAAATGAGAATATGATACAAAATTAAAAATTTAAGAAGGTAATAAGGTCCATTCGGCGAAGGGCTACTTTAAAGTTTTCTCCACATTTGATGACCCCTTTAGTGTTTTATTTTTTATGAATTTGAAAATATTTTGAGTGCCGCAGTGTTTTTTTTTTATTCGGGAGACTTGGATACCCGTGGTGTAGAATTTTGGGAGCCCATGGAGATTTTTTTTATAAATTATTCAAAACAATTTTCGAGAATTTTGGTGTTCAATTTGGGAAAGTTCTGACCTGACTTGTTTTTGAGTTAATTTTGGTACCCCCTTTTTTTGAAAAATTTAAAACAATCTCGAGATTCTAGGCATTCTTGTTTGAAAAGCATTTGAGAGTGCTTTGGAGCTTCCAGTGTCTTTTCTTATAATAACTTAATTAAATTTCTTAAAGGATACGTCATTTGCTAAAATTGGTCTTATCTTATCAGGTACTAGCCTCAGCCGCCCGCCCTTTATTTTTTTAGAAAATATGTCATTTGCCAAAATCAGTCTTAACAGATACTAGCCCCACCCACCCACCCTGTCTTTTCTTAGAGTGTATGTCATTTGCCAAAATCGGTCTTATTTTCGCAGGTACTAGCCCCGACCACACGCCCTCTCTTTTCTTAGAGAGTATCTCATTTGCCAAAATCAGTTTTATCTTAGCAGCTACTAGCCCCGCCCACCCACCCTCTCTTCTCTTAGAGAGTATCTCATTTGCCAAAATCAGTTTTATCTTAGTAGGTACTAGCCCCGCCCACCCACCCTCTCTTTTCTTATAGGGTATGTCGTTGCCAAAATCAGTTTTACCTTGGGAAGTACCTACTAATGACTGACTTTTACAAAAAATGATCGAAAATGATTTCTGGATGTCGAAATCTACAAAAAAATGTCTAGCTAATTTACGAAAATGGTTGAAGATGGTCGAAAACATCAAAAGTGTCAATAACAGTCATTTCTAATAGAATACTAGCCCCGCCCACCCACCCTTTATTTTCTTGAACGATATGTCATTTGCTAAAAACAGTCTTATCTT